CTATTGCCCTCTATACATCCATCAACTTCCTGTCATTTCTGACCCCTTGAGAGTACCCTTCCCTGTTTTCCAATCCTTAAAAATGTTTTTTTTTTTTTTTAATGTTTCAGTGGAATTTGGGAAGAGAAACTAAAATTGCAATCTTGAAATCAGAGTCCCCTGCCACATGTGGCAATTTGAAAAATATATTCACCAATGTTCAAAAGGCAGGAAAAGTGAGATGATTTGATTGGTCACAATTTTGCAAAATAAAATCTCAACCACAGGTTGGGGATATAGCTCAGTGGTTGAGCATCTACTTAGCATGCTTGCCCCACTGGGTTCAACCCTCAGCAATAACCCTCCACATATTGTATATACTATCTTAAAAATCTCCATCATAAAACATTACCTGTTCTATGTTCTAGAAAAAGGCCAATAGGACAAAGTCAGGAAGTCTTTGGAGGAATACAGGTGGGATACAAACACTGGGCATCTCCCACACAACAGTCCCCCAAGTCTTCTGTATGAAAACTGAGCTGGTCAATTTCTAAATAAATCATTATATGGATACAGGAATTAAAGGTAAATAATGTAGTCCTCACAGATAACTCTACAAAACAGACACCACAGCAAACCACATCTGTGCTAACTGAACATTTGAAGTAACTAAAAATAATTCAACTGCTTAAGGCAACCTAGGATGTGGGAATTGATTTGGAGTTAAAAACACTTTACTACTTTTAAAGTTATCTTTGATATTTAGTCTATGCATTAACTGTAAGATGTGGTAGAGTATAACTAAATAGGTGATGAAGAAAACTTTCCTTAGAAGATATTCCAGTTAATAAATGACTGGTTTCCTGGCAGGGAGAGAAGAAAACTCTGAGGATGTGCATGCATACACACATACTGCACATTTTGAGACATGACAAATTTCAAGTACTCCATCTATACTATAATTTGAGAAACCTTATTTTTAAAAATGTGTGAGACTTGGGGAAATTTAAAACACTGGATATTCAATATTTAAACAGCAGTAATTCTATAAGGTGTGATGAGTACAATGTGCTTATGTTAAAATGTATTTCCAAATGAACTGATGTCTGGGATTTATTTAAAAATAATCCAGGGAAAAGTGAGAGGTGATAAGAATATAGATGAAATAAGGATGTCTATTTAATTTTGGAAGCTGGGTAATGAATAAATGGGGTATCATTATACAATTCTATACTTCTGTATGTATATAAAATGTAGAAATGATTTAAAAACATTTTTTTAGTTGTAGATGGACACACAATATCATTTTTTTATGTGGTGCTGAGGATTGAACAAAGTGCCGCCTCACACATGCGAGGCAAGTGGTTTACCACTGAGCTACAGCCCCAGCCCTAGAAATGATTTTTAAATGTATTTAATCACAAAAGAGTTGTCTAATAGAATTCATCTGTGGTGATTTCTGTGCAAAAAGTTGGGAAGGTTTACTTCAGACCCTAGGCAAGGTAAGTGACAGAACCTCTGTTTGCCTTTGGAAAACTAATTACAAATGATATCAATAGCTAGATGCAGTGGCGGGGCCCTATAACACCAGCTATTAGGGATTCTGAGATAGGAAATTGCCAAGTTTCAGGACAGCCTGAGCAACGTGGCAAGATGTAGACTCAAAATAAAAATAAAAAGGGCTGGGAGTGTGGCTCGGTGGTAGAGTGCCCCTAGATTCAATCCCCACTACTACAAAAAAGAAAAAAATGTAAAGAAGAAAAATAGTTTGTTGGTAAATAACATTAAGTGGAATGAAAAAAATATTAAGTTTCTAACATGTTCCAACTTATAAAAACCTGCGCACACACACACACACTCACCCACAAATTTTCAAGTCAGAACAATATGCACTTAATACTTACCCACGTCTAACATTACTAATGTTCTAAGAAGATGAAATGTGATAGTTAAGTTAGTGCATCCAGAAATGTTTAGAACTAGAACTAGCTTGATATTATGAATTATTTCTAACTATACAGAAAAGATGCAGAATGTAGTGTTTGCTTTTAGTTTATTAATTTATTTTTCAGGAAACTTTTGACTTTCTGAATATGTACTGTTTGGAAGTACGATGCATGCATAGCCTTTTTAAATGCCTTTGTACAATTTCATCTCAAAATAATTTCATTCACAGCATACACAGAAATCTAAGAGACATGGTATTTACAAGATTTAATAAGTTCTTGCTGCTTTAATGAAGAAACTGATCAATTCCTTTACAGTAGGGAAAGAAACATGGACATTGCGTGTTCTTATAAATAAGAATTCAGAATTGCTCAGTCTCAAAGCAACTTTTCATGGCTTTAGAAATTAAAATTGACTCATCATTCTATAAATCTCTGAATGCCCAAGCCATGCAAAATCTACTTGTATTAAATATTTGGGGATGCAAATAATACAGAAAAAAAATTTCTGGTGAATGTGAAAACGTCATCAGAATTAACTTTCACAATAGGAAAATACTGTTAATTCTTTCAAAAAGATACAGTAGTGGTGCAACACAGACAGTGCCCAATTTTGATTTTTTTAAAGTAGCATTTCACTTGTCATTTTCCTTTCTCTACAGATATACATACACACACTGTAACATAGACTCATTCAAGGTCTAACAATGGTACAATATTAAAATAATTTTTAACTATAAAGGGACATCTTCACATTCCAGGATACATCATTGATAATTTTTAAAGGACAATTCTTCTATGTCTTATATTCTTGCTTTTTGTTTATACTGTCAGCAAGACATTACAATTACCTTTTAAAAGACTATATAAAATTGAGTTGCCACAGAAAGTTGGATATGAACCCTAGATAATTGTGACAAAGCAATGACAAAATTTAAGGAAACATCGATTTATAATTAAAAAGTACTAAAATTGAGACCAGCTCCTTAAAAATTAAACTGCTTATCACACTTCCCATTTCTTCCAGGGAAATAAACAAATTAGCAACACTTTCCCCACCATCATTAATCTGCTCTAAAACTACATTTTTACAATGCATTTCTTTTGTTTCTTTAAAATCTCCTGCCTCTACTCTCTCCCAAACTAGCTCAATATCAACATTTTACAATGCTTAGAAAGTTTCTGGCTCCTCTATTACCACTTTAAACTTTTAAGAACTCCAAAATTTAAGGGGCAATGTACTGTAGCAGAATGGCAAACGTGCTTTCTAAAAACCCAGTTACGAAACGGTGAAATAATGTAAAATGTATAGTCAGGTCTATATGTTACCAGATACATCAAACCAGTTGTATTTTAAGAAAGCAAATCTCTTACAAGAAACAAGGAGTGCACCAACTCAACCAAAGGGCGTAGGCGCCTCAGTGGCTAGGCATCACCCAACTTAATTCCTACCAATTGTTTATGCATACCAATCTGACTAGGAGATCCTTTGGAAAAGATACCTTGAAAGCTGGGTGGATTCTTACTCAATCTGGTCATAGGCAAGAAGAAGTCTATGGGATACAGTTAAACATAGCAAATTTATCAGTGTCAAACAATATGCATATTTTAAAAAACTGAATACGGCCTAAGTTGGCAGATGAAACTTGTGCACAATCACAAACTGACATGTACAAAACTTCCTTAAAATCAATCTCTGATATCTCATACCCCACCTTCCACACCTAGCAAATGGACTGTTTTCTCATTTTTCCTGGCAGGAAAGCAATGATTGACTAGATATGTCATCAAAGGACTGAAACCATGCATCTACTGTATGATAACACCTTATTAACCTGGATGTATTTTCATGCAATAGTTTTAAAAGTCATCTACATGGTTTTAATAAAGCATCTGACTATTTTCAAACATGCTACTTTCATTTCAACTGACAACTGCCAAGTTAATTGCTGCCACTTCAGCGTATCACTATGAATACTGGTAAACCTTTTAGCTAGAACACCAAGCAGTATATATAGGTTTGTCCCCCTAAATTGTTTATTAACACCAAGTGGGGTTGACCACCACTAACATGATACGAAACCACACAGAGGCAAAGGAATCTTACAGGATAGTAGGACTGCTGGACTGTTGTTGGAGACTGACAGATACCAGTGTTACAAAAGTCTGTTAAAAAAAAAAAAACTGTTTTCAAGTCCATGCTTTAAAGCCTGTCTGCTTTCTCACCATCTTTTTCACAGTTTTGCCACAATTGTTATATGAGAAATGTTTTATCAGTGTAATTACATAACCACATTTAACTTTGGGAGACGAGTGGACATATTTTGGGGAGTTTTCCACATATGAAAAAATGTTTTCAAAGCTGTAGGCAGAGTATGAAATTATGATTTGATGGAAAACTATGATGAGTTATGCCTTTGGTTTCATTATGCTATTAAGTGCAGCTTGTTTTTCCAGGCCTGCCAGAGATTACTGCTAAATTAGAATACAATGAGAACACAAAGGGTGTGTGTGTGTGTGTGTGTGTGTGTGTGTGTGTGTGTGTGTAGGGGGGTACCTGCTGGTATTCCTAAGGTTATAACCTTAGCCAAAATGCTTCAGAATGGGAAAATATACCAACTTTATTGCTGTTTATACTCACCAAAATGAGGGGTTTGGATTTTAAAATTCAATTCTGAGCCAAGAAGGAAACTGAACAGTGGCAGAGACCTTATTTAGATGTGCTATTAAATTTCCAGTGATGCACCCTAATGAGTCACATGATTTTATCTCTTCAGTTATCCAAACCTTGAAGTTCTGTTTCATAGATTGCTGTGATGCCTGGACAAATTCAATATGACCTCTGAAAACACTTTTATTTAAAAAGTTGTTCATTTTAAACTCTTGTATTCATCTTTTTTCTTTTCGTGGTACTGGGGGGGTCAAACTTAGGGCCTTGTGCATGTTAAGCATATGCTCTACCACTGAGCTACACCCCCATCCAATATTTCCTAACCATTTTTTTCTTGCTCCCCAAACAATGCAGTGTGCAACTTTGATATTGGCCAACTATAATTTCCCTCACATTGGTTTATTACATATGTGTAAATAAATCTTTATTGAACAGCTAATATTGATTTTTTTTCTTCAGCTAAATTAGGATTATGGCACAAAGTATTATCTGTGCTGTAAACATCATGAATTCATCACAAAATTGGAAGGAGGCAAAAAAAAAAGCCCTATGAACTGCAAACATTTCTTAAGAACCACAGCTGAGCTCAAGATTTCCAAATAGATTTTGGAATGGACTTGCATTTGGCATACATTCACTGTGCTATTGGCAAAGCGCAGTTTTACAAGAATGTCATTTATAAAATCATACTTTGTAAGGATTTGTTATTTTTTAAAACGGCCTAATAAAAGCATACAGTAACTTAAAAATATATCTCTTATATGGCATAATCAGGTCTTAGTTACCAGTGTTGATATAGCTTGATGAAACCTTGTACAAGCCAAAGGGATCTTACCACCTCTGATTGTACTTTCCAATGATGGGCATAATATGCCTAATTCCTGACTGCTACAAATCACATTTTAAAACATATTGTTTGTGTTTGAAATTACCCCTGAAAAAAAGCAGCAATTAAAAATATCTCTATTATTTTGCAAAAAAAAAAAATCATATTCTGGGTGCTTTTTCCTGTCCTTCTCTTCATAGGAAGCATGGGAAGAAGCACAGGGAGCCTTGGTTTTCCAGAGAGCTGTGGCCAGGTAAGCCTACTCTGGAATTCACAGTTTGTCTGCATAAACTGTTAACTTTTCATAATATCATTCAAGGTTTGACTTCAAAAAAAACATAAGGGCCACTCAGCAGTAACTTTAACAATTGGGATTCCACAGAAGAGCTCTTGACTTAGCTCTGTGTACATTCTTTCAGGAGTGAATCCTTCCCCAGTTTCAAGTATTCCTTTCTACCTCTAACTCTGCAATGAGTTAAGAAAGGAAAAAAGAAAGACCTCACCATATTCCTTTTGTGAGCACAGTGACCACAGTGCCATTCCTCCTCCTACCCCCCCCCTGTGCAATTGAAAATGAAAAGGCTGGGCAGATGAATAGACTCCTGAGGTTTCCTTTTCTCATGGTGCTCAAAAAGTTTCACTCTTAACCTGGTGCCAACTCTTCTGAATTCAAGTGTACCGTGGCATCTCACACTGCTCACAGCGATTTAGTGCTGGGTGGTTAAGAAAGGTGCAGCTGTCACAATTCCACGGAGCCCCTTCGTAGTCTTCATCTCGGGGTTGTATCCGAGGACTGTGTGTGGAGCCAGTTAGATTCTCTGAGGGAAGTGAAGATTAAAGAGAGAGGGGGGTAAAGATAAAGTTTTTTTTTCCCCCCAAGTACAATCCAAAAAGCAAGGGACGTAACTTTCTGCCTTATGTGTAAGGCACTTAGTAAGCACATCTACTAGAAAAGCATAACTGAGCAGAATGCAAAATATAAAGTTTGTTCTAAACAGTCCATTTTTTTTTTTTTTTTGCTATAAGACAGAAGCTGAGTGTGGTGTTGCTCACCTGTATCCCAGCTGCTTGAGAGGCTGAGACAGGAGGATGACAATTTCAAGACCAGCCTGGGCAATTTAGCAAGACCCTGCCTCAAAATTAAAAAGGGGGCTGGGGATGTAACTAATATCTAGCATGCACAAGGCCCTGGGTTCAATCCCCAGCACTGCCAAAATGAAAAAAGATGGACAGAAGTCCAGAACAGATTATCTTCCTAAAAGATTACTCATAGATAGTGGATATTTATGCTTTATTCCAGCCAAATGAAAAAAAAAAATGGACATGTAAGAAAACATGTCTTCCCTGACAATCACAGCCTACTTTGACTTTTTTTCTGTTACTATACACGTAATATAGCAAATATCTGATATATGTGCCTTTTCCCATGAGATATTTAAACTCCAATACACATGTGCTTTGTACTAATGGTTCATAAATGGCAGGGGACAGTTTGTAAGAAAAATTTCCCCAGAATAGTGAAAAGATAGACTTCAGTTTTTCTGAAAGCCAAATTACATTCAATATAAAAGGCTATTATTCCCAGATTCTTTCTTACTTTTTTGGCATTCAAATGTCCTTCATATGTTTTGAAAAAAAATGTCTATAATTGGCAAAATCAAATGCTGGCAAATTTAAGTTGGCCTCCAAGGTTTTATAAAAATTCGAAACTTGTATTCGTGTTGAATCTTCATTCTTCCTAATCATCACACTTAAAAAGGCTCTGCTTCTAGGGTCCATTTGTAAATCCTGCCTTTTAGGAACAGTCCCTATTAAGAGCAGGGTGAGTGAAGAGAAGGCTAAAGGTCTCCTGATGAAATCTTCCCTGGAATCTGGGGTAAGATCAAGAGGCTGGGAATGTCCACCTATAGGACACTGGAAACCCTCACTATGTTCTGGAAATACGATTAAGATCTAAGGTAAGCAATCTTTCCAAATAGTTAACAAAAATAAACTGAGATATGGGAAAGCTCTGTCAGTTATGGTTCTGGGTTAGCATATTTCCCACTAAAAATTAACTAGCTTACTTCTGGGTTATCAATTTGTCTTTCATGGCAAATGACTAGTGTGACCATTCCCTGAGAACCGAGGTTCAGATTCTGAACCTTACCCTATGATAAGGCTCAGCCCCTATTGGGAAGGTTGTCTTAGTTATACAATGACTAAAAATTGCTGGGTTCTTTACCCTATTCCTATGACTACATAAGAAAGATGGACTCATTTCTCTTGTTTCAATTGCTGCATTAAGGGGAATTTAAGAACTAGCAAGTAGTATACTTACACAAACATATACAATACTTTTAGAAATCTCATTTCAACTGAATGCCAGGATAAACCATTAGAAAATTTCAGTGAGAAGTTCATAATAATCCAGAACTTTCAAGTCATTTTGAAATTGTTTATTTGGCCTTGCTCTCTATATATGCTATTTCCTTGGAGCTTGACCCACCTAATATGGTGGCCACTGAGTGTTTCAAAGGTGATGAGTCTGATTTGAGATGTACTGTAAGTGGATAAAAATCACTAACTTTACCCTGATTTCATATTGAAATATTTTATATATATTGGATTAAATAAAATATATTAATCTTTATTTACTATTTAGGGTGATTACTAGAACATTTTGAATTATATACATGGCTTGCAATATATTTCAATTGGACAGCATAACCTTAAAATTTAACTCTGCATAGAGAAAAAAATTTGCAGGGTAGCGGGGTGGTTTCTGGGAATTGAGCCCTGGGGCACTTTTGTCACTCAGCTATATCTCTAAGGTCTTGCTAAGTTGTTAAGACTCAAACTTGGAATCTTCCTGTCTCAGCCTCCCAAGTAGTTGGAATTATAGGTGTGTGCTCCCTATTCCTGGCTTAGGGAATAATTTTTGAAAGCAAAAATTAAAAGTTTGGTTTTACTTTTATGGTAACTCTACATAAGTTAACATGTGTCTGTGGACATTCTGGACACACAAGTACAAACCATCTGCAGCTGCTGCCTGGGTGTCATGAACATCCGCCTGTACTTTGGAGGTCACACTAATTCTTCGAGCTTTTCTCTCAATTGTGCAGGGGTCTGAGGAGTCTGTTTATTTAAAAAAAGGAAAGAAAAAAGAAAAAGAAAAAAAGAAGAAAAAGGAAAAAAAAGGAAGAAAAAAAGAAAAAAAAAAAAAGAAAAAAGCAAAGCCAGTAAGAAGAGATCAAGTGATTCTTTAGCAAGAGTAAAAAGGCTCACAAAGTTTACTCCTGCAACCCACACAGCTGAGTACATTTCCTATCACTTCATGCTACCTTTAGTTGTCCTGTGAGGGCAAATACTACATTTAATTCTGCACTGCAACCTGAGCCACAACCTGGCTCTTACAACTTTTTCCATTCTCTGATTACCCAGAACCAATGGCCTATTTTATCAGATTCCTACTTGTTAGTGGATTAGGGGTACAAACAGTGATAGCAATGAAATGTCAATGTGGAAGTAAAATTAGGAAGATTACAATACAGTAATTCTCCAATTAAGCAATAATTAACAGAAAATTATAGGGTGAAAACAGACTACCCATACAAGGCTAACTATTACAATAATGATGATGAAATACAGATTTTATAGTTAAAGAGCAAGAATAGTACTTAAAGTCAAAATCGACTCAATACTATGTCCTGATCAACCTGCGCTCCCAAATTGTTTCATGAATTCTAATTACCCACATCTGCAGCAGACATTTTGCAACATAGGCAATAATTGTATGTATCCTGACTTCTTGTAGAATGTTTCTATGAATTAATAGGTTATTAGTAAATAATCTTTGTATTAAGTAAAAATGAAAAATGGCAGACTTCATATTATTTTTGCATTTAAGAATCAAAGAAAAATATTGCATTTTCTAATTGGTTTGGAGCCCCTGTGCAATCCCCTAATGCAACCCACCTTTGGAGATCACTGTTCTAGAATTCTAAGCATGATGCTTAAACACTTCAACACTCCATTATCAGAATTAAACAAGAGCAGAGTCAATGTTTCCATAGACCCCAACAAACAAGGGTAAAGTTCTATTTCTTAGGTTTTGTAAAGCACTTTTACAGCATCACATGCCTACATGTCACTAACTCTTACAAAAACTTTGTAAAATATCCTGGTAAATATTTGAACAGATCAACTGTGGTGCAGTTTAGAGCTGAACAAGGCCATGTGGCTAAGATGACCAGAATCAGTACTTAGCATCTGGAAGCCAAGGTCAGTGCTTTTACCACTGTATGGGTTTCCAATGGGGAAGTGAGGAGACTTGCTGAGTCACCTGAGGGGTAATACACACTGTATTGCTTAACTGCCAAGTCCAATTCAAAAAAGTTTGTCTTCCTTTCTGTCTCTCTTCTCTACCTGTTTTTCTCTTTATCACATTTATGCACATAAACTTCTATATCCCATATGGATTTCTTGCATATAACTCCAAGACATTTATTCAAACCAATATGCCAGTTCTACCAGTTGTGAGCATTTTATTCATTTGGTTTGTTACTGAGTACTACTGCAATCATTCTGTGCTAAACTAGATGTACTTTTACAAAGGCCATGTTAGTTTAAAAAACAAAGTGGGAAAATATGCAAGTGCCTAAAAGAAAACAAATTTGAATCCATAAAGAAAAATGAGTAGCTTTTGAGAAACCTGTTATGAAAAGGCTTCCAATGAAATTGGAGAATTTAATCAAGTTTTATTATAAATTTTAACAGAAAAAAAATGTGAAAGTTTAGAAACTATGGTAAATAGTATAATTTTTTATTGACATTTATAATAGCTTATGCTAGTATATAATTAAAACAAATTTCTAAAATAAAATATTGTGAAATGTTTTAGGTGTCTTTCTAGCCTTTTATATTAAAACTGTACATACAGAGTAGAAACTGCTTAGGGTAGGAGTCTTAGAATCAAGCATCTGTATAATTAATCTACATATGAGCATCTGATACATATTTAAGAAATGGGTTGAAACTGGACCCATTACAGCTAACTTCATGGGACTATCCAATATCGGCTTTAGCAAATTTTATTTGAATTAAACAAGCCACGAAAAAAAACCTTTTTAGTGTACAAGTACTTGTAGAGAGCTAGATGAAGGTTGATATTTATGAGACTACATCATGGAATATTAATGCAAACCTTGCACAATTTCTAGCCAAGTAGGATACCAAACAGGAACCTCCTACCTCAATTACATGGTGTTGGTCCCAGAGACAGAAAACAAAATGACATATTGACACTATCACTACCACTGCTAGAAAATCACCACTCGGACTCAACAGGCTCTTGGCAATAGATCCATCATGTCGCCTCAAGAAATTTCTTTGTATATGGTCTTTCATGTGTATTCCTTTGTGAAGGTCTGATTAAATGTTTTTGCTTTTTAAAGTCGGGTGTTTTTTGTCTCTTTACTATTGTCTTGTAGAAGTTCTTTAGGCTATGGATACCAATCTTTTATCAGACATACTTCACAAATATTTTCTCAAGAGTCTCTCCAGCAGAAGTGTTGAATTTTAATGAAGGTTTGTTGATCAATTGTGTTTATTGCTTCTTGTGTCCTGTTTAAACTTTAAGTACACCCAAGTAGCAAAGATACTATGTTTGTTCTGGAAGCTTTATAAAGCTTAGTGTTTAAAAACACTTAGGTGAATGAACAACAAATTAAAATTTTTGTATTATGATGATGATGTGAGGCAGAGATCAAAATTTGTGTTTTCCCCACAAGGATATTCAGTTCTTCCAGTCCTGCTTGTTGAAGATTTTCCTTTCTCTGTTGGTTGCTTTGTTGCTTCTATCAAAATATCAACTGACAGTTGAGTGGGGGATCTATATCCAGGTTTTCTATTCTGTTCTAGTGTTCAATTTCTTTATTCTTATGCCAGCATCACACTGTAATTACCCTAGCTTTATAGTTAAGTCCTAAAGTTGGTTAGCTTAAGGTTTCTGGCTTTTGCTTTTTTTTTCAAGATTGCTTTGCATTTCTATTTGAATTTAGAATCAATTTTGTTAAATAAAAAGTTTAGTGGGTATGGTGGAACACAGCTGTTATCCCAGCTATTCAGGAGGCTGAGGCAAGAGGATTGCAAGTTCATTGCCAGCCTCAGCAACTTTGGGAGACCCTGTCCCAAAACTTAAAAAAAAAAAAAAAAAAAAAAAGTGCTGAGTGGGGGTATAGCCTAGTGATTCAGTGCCCCAGGGTTCAATCACCAGTACTGCCCCCCCCCAAAAAAAGGGGGGGGGGGGTAAAAAGTCTTAGTGGGGTTAATTTGGTATTGTATCTGCATATCAGGCTTGAAAAATGGGTATCTAAACATTACTCAGTCGTGAAATTATTAATCAAAATTTCTTAGCTCAGTTTATATGATTTAGATGGAATTTATATATGGCTTAATTAAAACAAATCTAAGATTTTAAAATGTTATATCAAGTAATTTTAAAAAATATTCACTCTTCAGAATGTATTTAATCAATAGTTTGAACTGCTTAAAACAAAAAGGACTAAAATATGAAATGTATACTTCAATTCAGCCTAGAACTATAATTATGAAGCAACTTGGGCTGTTCGTTAATAATGGGATAGAAATGTTACCTACATTTAATAACTCAAATTAATTTGATTAAACTTAAGATACTATAATGCCAAGTAAACATTGATACATAAAAATAGAACAGATTTTTTAAAAAAATTATTCTACTTAGTTGTACATGACAGCAGAATGCATTTCAAATAAAACAGATTTTGATGATATTAAACCATTTCTACATAAAAAAAATCTGAAAATGTTTGTTATATAGAATTTATTTTGTCCTTGATAAGAAAACACCCCTCCCCTCCCCTAATTGTTATGCTCAACTTCTGAGTACACAAGGACTCCTGTTGCCTACAAAATAATCTCAGATCTATTACAAATCTAACTTTGTAGTTTAACATTAGACCTTTGAAATTCCTATTGTTTTGTACCATTAATTATATAATACAGTTTCAATAAAGTTATATATTCCATTCAATTCTGTGCTTTTAAAAAAATTAACATTTTGGGATGTATCATTATTGCCTTGCTATGGTAACATCAAGATGGTAACTTTGTTTATGCTGAACAAGCTAAAGAAGATCTCAAACGGAAATTTCTTCAGTTTCAAAGAATTTTATTTGTTTCTACAATGATTATGGCATGTCCCTACTTACCTTTCTTGGATGGTTTTGGTGGTACAACTGGACCAGGTTCTATGTTGTCATAAAAATTATTCATGGCTTTTGGATCAAAGTTTCCTATAAATAAAATAAAATCAACCAGGCATTTAGGACTTTTTCTTCTGCTATTTGATTTTTTTTAAAAAAAGAAAATATATAAAGACATAAGAAGGGAGAATGTTTTCCAGGGTTTCAAATCTCATTATACTATTCTGTCCTCCCACTGAAATTGTGTTTTCTTTATCACTGTGAAAAAAGAACTGAGAAAACCACATCAGTGTTTGTCTCCAATGTGTTACCTGAAGGAATATTTCTCTAAATGTAAAGCTAGTCTCCTCAGGCAGGATTAAGCATGTTGGGCATTTGAAGAGGTAAATGAAGAAATGAAAGGATGGCTGACCTGTATTCTGTTTTAATTTAATGAACAAACCATAAGAGAAGACAAATAGTGAAGGCTCACTTTCATGTCTTTCATAATTTACCTTAAAAATGTATCCATTATAAATTCACCTATGGAAGGGGCCAAAAAATTATTAGTTATATTTTGAGATAGCTAAGTGAGACCTGGATAACTGTGAAATAGCAGCTCATGGATTCCTATTTTCAAAATTGGATAATCTTAACTTCAATATTAAATTTAATGTAGCCCATATGATTTATCAAAGATGATGTGGTGCCAATTTCAGTATAGAACATTCCTTGAGAAATCTGTCTTGCCACAAAATTTTTCACTTCTCCTAAGATATTCATTCTCTGATACAGACACTGGTCTGCATTTCAACTAGTTTTGAGTCCTACAAGGTTCATTTTGATATAGTGCCAGTTTTGAGTCCTAACCTCTCTCTCTCTCTACTCTGGTTGTTCTACACAATTCCAGTAAAAGTTTAACTGTTATGTTTATTTACAGAGGATGGAGTAGGATACCGACAATTTAATTATACTAAATAGTTAAGTCCTGATTTCTAGACTTTTTTTTCTCAAAAATTATTACCAAAACCAACAATGAAGTTACTTTTCATCAATGTATACACTGATTTGTATCTAGTCTAAATGCCACCCACTATACCTCAAAAAGAAAGTTCAGACTGGAAACTTGGTCAACCTGGTATAAAAAGTTTTCTAGAGTGTATAAAAGTACAATTCAGTATAAATTAGCTAGGTTTGGACCCCTTACGTAAAGAGACTTGGAAATGCTTCAGTACCAAAAAGAACTCATTGCAAGGTCATTGCCCAACAAAGCCCCAAAACACAGCTCTTTACTTACAAAACCTTAATAGTGGTTCCCCCTTTGCAGGTCCTATTACAAGTAGTTTATCCACTTGGATATGTTTTGTTTTGGGAGAATTTCCTGTAAACAATTCCTATGGTAGCTCATAAATACCATGATGCTATTTGATGTAGTAACTGGATTGTTTATGATAAAATGCTACATATGTATTTCTTTGATTCCTTAAGTCACAGCTAATATTCTAATTTCTAGATCCCATAAGGTTTATTATAAATATCCTAACCAAATTTTTGAGTTAAATGTTTCTTGTTTTGCTTCAAAGACCACTCAAGTAAAAAAAAAAGATGTAAATTTCTATGATATAGTAGCAAGAGTCTTTATAACCTACATGTTATGCATAGTAAATCTTTCACTGCTTAAAACTATCAGGCTACACAGTGACTAAGCTTCTGAAAATAACTTCAAGGGTACCTGACGAGATTGCTCAACTTTCACAGTCCAATTTTTCTGTTTATTGTTCAGACAGTTCCATTTTGTTTGTGTTCTCCTGCCTCTACTGTTCAGTCTTGCCTAGAAGTGGCAATGAGATATTATATTGTATACTCTTAAAAGATCATAGAAGCTCTCTTAGCTGCCATAATTAAGAGAAATTGTGGGGGCTCAGGGAAAAGGCTGGCTAAAACATTAAGGAAAAATCTGCATCAACTTTAATGTAAAAAAATGGATATAGCAGTAGTTTAATGTTTAAGACAAAGACCTTTTCTTTATGGCTCAAGTTCCATATTATCTTATGTAAACCAAACCCTGGGTGACCAAAAGCAAAGGTCAGCACAGTTTTTCTGTCAAGGGTCTGATAATAGTTTAGACTTTGTGGACCTGTAATACAGTCTCTGTTGCATTTGTGCCACTGATGCACAAAGGCAACCATAGATAACATACAAACAAATGGGGATAGCTATCATTTCACTAAAATTTTATTTATAAATAAATAAAACAGCAGACCATAGTTTGCTAAACCCCGGATCTGTAAATTTTCTGTTTTGATTTCTTTAGAATGGAGCAAGAAAGATTCTAAGGACATTTCTATAAATCACTGAGAATCCTTTTAGATTTTTATGATTTTAGTTCCTATCATAGCCCTTATCTTTTCAGTGTTTTGTCTTTGAGGCTTAAAAAAACATTTGCCTTTGGTTTTTAGACACAGGCTTTCTCTGGATTCATCTCAGTTTATGAAACATTACATTACAGAAGTATGGTAACTGGCAGAAACAGTGTTGGGGACTGACTCATGGTAAGCAGACAATTTGACCAATGAAAGCAATGGTACATGGGCGTATCACTCACATCACTTTATTTCCTAGAGGAAATGAATGAAGGCTGTCTCTAATCTAGTGAACTGGGTAAATGAAAGTTAAGAGAGCTGCTTTAGTAGTATACTAATGTAAGAAATCAAAACACTAAAACTCTTCATGTATCAAAAAAAAAATGGCATAGAGTATTTAAAGCTGAAACATCTGATAAACTGATTTGGGATTCCCCATTTTTTTCAGATATTTTAGATGACTGACTAAACTGTACTATATCTTAAAACCCATTGATTTATAAAACATTCACAGTAAGATTAAGAGGAATAAATGCAAAGATATGACATAAAACACTCTAGGTAAGAATAATGATGAAATCGCCAAAGTAAAACTGTTTTTTGATCCCCCAAATCTGATCCATGAGCAAGGGGAAGGGTGATCTCTTTTATAAGGATTATAATCTTATAATGGACAAAAATTGTCTCTTAAATCTACAAAATCAAAATTATTGCTATTTACGCAGCTTAAAAATACCACACTATTAACTTATGGTTTACCAAATAATCAAGTCTATACCTCTAGATTGAAGGAGGTCAACTTCTTTCAGTGTACAGTCAACATTTATCTGGAGTTGTCTGTTCATGCTTCTCAATCTTGTCATTTCCTCAGGCTAGTAAGAAAGGACCCAAAATAGCAATTGTGGGAAAGTCATTATCAAGCCCAACATTTAAGAACTGCATTTCATGTTAATTGTTCTGATTGGGTATTACCAAGAATTCTGCCTTAGTCCATAAGAGGGCATGTTTAAGAAGTCCTAAATGTATATTTTTAAAGGAATAATCAGGTAAAATGGGGACACTGAAATGGCCACATATAAACAAAAGCTGCAATGTAGTGGTAGGCTACAATATTGGACTGTTCTATCATACAATATACTACCATTTTAATCACAGAATATTCTGCTTCTATATTTTCATGACAAGGGAAGCTAAGATAAACAACCTTCTAAACAAACAATGTTCATGATTTTGGTTTTGTCCAACCTGCTAAAAATTATAACAGTACTAATTTTACTAAGTGCTTAGTGTCAGGCATTGTGTTTACCAGGATTCTCCCATTTCTTCCTCTGAACAATTCCCTATTTACTGAATAGGAGATGGAGGCATAGGTCAATTTTCCTTTCTTCAACTGCTTCTTCTGCCTCAACCTTTCTAGCCCACCCAGTTCCTAGGCCTTTCAGGAGCACATATAAGGAGAGAGTTCTAATCTTCAGGTAAGTAAGACTTTTTGGAAGTCTTTACTTCTCTTGCCATTGTCAATTTCTTTACTATTTATATATGCATATATGTGTGTGTGTGTGTGAGAGAGAGAGAGAGAGAGAGAGAGAGAGAGAGAGAGAGAGAGAGAG